ATAAAAACATTTTTTTTATCAGAAACAAAGAATACATTTTTAATCAAGATTCAACACACAAATGATTATCTTTACAATCCCGGTGCACCCCTTACTGCATACTCGACAAACTATCCTACTCCTCCTCCGACCCCCGTAACCATTCCTGTCTGAGCATACATCACAGTCTTTCTCTCGATGACCGGGCAACTTCCTGATTCCGTTTTTATTTTTATGTTGTCTATTGTCTTGGTTTTCGTTTCTTTGCATCATGTGGTCTTTCGCGAGATCCTCTATAAGCTTTTGCTTAAAAACTAATCTTGACAGTTTAGGGTTATCCGATGTATCATGCATTGATAACCATACGGTGCATAAGATTAAAAACTACCTTTTCCCATACTTTTAAAGTTTTTCGTGCATCATTATAACTCTTTGTCATCATATCAGCCAAATCTACGCCCCCCCATAAATTTATTGTACGCACAAATCATAGCAGGTTTATCATTTTCCTGTGCTGCTGCTTTTGAAAAAGAAGATACGAGTCCAACAGGTTTTCTACCATTTCGTTCTTTATAAGCACAAAGAAGAATATGTCCTTGTCTAATATAAACACATCCTTTTCCTGCAAAACCGGATGCTTTATTGAATTTGGCATTTGACGATTGGCGCGTAAAGTTCCGGTAAAAAATGTGCCTTTTGTTAAAAGCTCTTTAGCCAGGTTAATGGAGGAGAAAAAACTGTCGGTGAATAAATGATAAGATTTGTGAAATAATCCAGCGGCATCTAGCAGTTTGTTAACAACGTATGCACCCTGTAACATTCCTTGTGGTGTTGTCTCGAATTGTCTGCCTTTGTAATCGCTGAGTTGATAAATATAGCCACTGACGGCCTCCGCTAGTACCCAAAGTTTAACTCCAAATTCCTCCGCTTTCGAAGGAATATATTGTATCATGATGGATGACCGGCCTTTAGAGGCGATTAGACTTTCATCAATACTAAGGTTCTGTTTTGGTTTGTAATGTAGTTTTGACTGTCGATTAAAAAGATCAACGAAGCACTGGAATTTTGAAGTAGGAGAATAATTATCGTCGTTCCGATTCGGTAACGTAGTATTATCTACGATATGAAATTTTTTTACAATGCTTTGAAATCTATTTCTTAAAAATATGTCACGAAACCAAACAGTATCCTGGCTTGGAAATTTTGTGTTCCAATATTCTGTAATGGATGGTTTACGTATGAGTCCCCTATTCACCTCTGAAAATAATGTTCTATGTTCTGCTACTGCTTAGAGAACAGCGGCAAATTCAGGACGAGAACATGCTAATGTAATATGAATATTTACCATGCTTTGTACTAGACCAACACACTGAGTCGTGATTTTTAACGTGCTAGTTCACAAGGTAACAGTTCGCAGGAAGCAATGTCACATTACCCGGACACATTATTCCGACTCCCGGCAGACCAGTCTTTGCTCTTACTTCTTAATGCCGTGTGCTATGCGGAGAAGCAGCAAATTATATACCAATTTTAAAGTCTTCGATTTGACCCGGCCGGGCAAAGGCGGGATATTTTACGTAGGAAAAATATACGGCAAAACTTCCTACGATAGTCACAGAGTGTGCATAAACATAGACCATATGTATGAGGGTCGTAAAGGGGGTAAATTCATGAAGACTAACGGTAAAAATGTGTGCCAAATGACGATAAAATGTACAATTTCTTTAAGACGAGAAAAAAATCGACTGATTTAGACGAATCGCGTTAATTTTTTTCCAAAAATAATATTTTGACGAAACATGGTAAAATTTTAACCAATTTAACACTAACGGTAGCTGAAAATGACCGTTTGACGCCTGACGATAAAGGGAGTTCCTACCCTCATGTATATCGTACTGAGTAAACTAGTACTGACTAGTTTAAATGGGAAATATATATAACATATAACTTTACAGGTAAATGTAAAATTTTACCTGTTTGTCTCTCTGACAATATGTCGTAGAAAATCAAGTGTCAGAAACAGCAAGAAGTAATCAATAGGTTTAGCGTCGGCAGTAGGGACATTCTGAGGGCCACTGTTCTCTACAATGAAATCTTTGGTCGTGCAGATAGTCAATACACCTTATCGCTATTCCCGCTTGACCCGAGAATCTGTCCCGCTCGAACTTTGACGTCATACAACAATCACTTTTCCATTGTGGCGTCAGATATTTTCTATTATGAAGTAAAAATTTTACGGGAACTTGTGTGATGTCCCTGAGTAATGGCGGACAAATAGCGATAAGGTGTATCTCCGGAGGTCTAACTCAGAACCAAGGATTGGCATTCATAGGAACTCCATTCATCGCATCTTCCGATTCTGAGCTGCCGCTTAAAACTTCAAAATCACCATCAATCTCCCCGTCAAACATTAAATCATTATTAAAATGTGACGTAAGTATATTCTATGGTTATAATTAGAGGTAATAAGGTAGATCGAGTCTATTTCACTGCGCATCTTGTTCGGAAATCTTGCAAATTTGAACATTAATTTATCATTCGAATGAGCAAAATATATTCAATACAAAGTAAATAATGTATTTTAAGTAAATTTATTATTAAAGTTGAAAGAATTTCACAAATAGCAAAATTGTATGCCAAAAAAAAAAAAAAAAAACTTAGGGGAGATAATTTGGGATTTTTTTATAATTGAAATATACTCAAGAACAAAAGAAACGCACCACCTCCAACATCAATAAAAACTTCTCAAAAAATCAAATTTTCAAAAATGAAAAATGTTGAAAAATTTTTGAAAACGAAAGTCGCGTGTATCTTTTCACATAAAGTGAAAAATTAGTACGATGATAAAATTTTTATCTTATTTTTCTGTAATGACCATTTGAAAATAACTTACCTTAGACTTTTGATTTTTGACTTTTTTGGTTGAAATCCCCATTGTCGCCACAAATACGAAAATTTCTCTTAAACTCGCGGATTAATTTTAAAATTATATTTTAAAATTGCTATGTATGGAAAGAAGTGGTGCTTCATTTGTGTTGTTAAGTGTATATAGGAAAAATCTGTTTTACTCCAATAGCGCGAAAGAAGAACAGTGAATGCAAGTTTTCTTTTAGAATATTAAAGTAAGTAAAGGTTGTCGTTTGTTGATGTGGTTCAAAGTTGTTTCTCGTTTCTCGTTTTTTATATAGATTAGACCGTTGGTTTTCCTGTTTGAATGGTTTTACACTAGTCATTTTTTGGGCCCTTTATAGGTTGCTGCATGTTCGGTATGAGCCAAGACTCCGTGTTAAATGCGGTACTTTGACTTATAATGGTTTAGTTTTACAAATTGTGACTTGGATGTAGAGTTGTCTCATTGGCACTCATACCACATCTTCTTATATCTGTGATAAGTGCTCTTTTCATACAGTTATAAAAAAACTATATCTATTGTTTTTTTAACATCAGGAAAATGTCGGATTCTCCCTGTTTAGTTAATGTAAAGTTTACCAGAATTGAACCTCAATCACTGCCAATTATATATAACATACGAACGAAAGGATACATATGCATTTTAAATCGAATTTCTAAATTGCATCAATTTACATTCTCTCTTGAAATTTTTTTAAAAAAAATCCATCTGCTGTAAAAAAAAATAATAATAAAGACCGGAGGGTGAACAAATACGATTTTTAGTTCTCTTTATTTTGCGGCTCTCTATTTTTCGCAATTAAAATTTTATGGAAACATTTTTTGTAGCGTGATTCGAAGATAATAGTTTTTGATTTAGTAATTTTTTTTTAATAGTTTTAAACTTTTCTGAAAAAGTAGATGTTTATGTTAATTGTTGGTAAAAGATCAAAGCAGGCGCTAAAAAAGGGGAGATTAACCTAGCTATCCCACAGTGTATCTCTTTTCAATCACAATATTTTTTCTTCAATTAAATGTATTGCTCTTTGTCTCGTCTTAACTTTTTAACATTTAAGCCGCAGTACTGGTATCTTAATACCGATAAATGTGTAACTATGATTCCGTTTTCCATAGCTATCCAAAAGCTGTTTTATTTTGTATCAGTAAGTACTATATAAAAATAAGGAGATGTGTTGATGATTGCCAATGAAACTATCCACTATTTGTTTGAGCGCTGTGGAACCATGATTTCTTCCAATTTAAAAAGAAAAAAAAATTAAAACCTACCTATGCCCTGGAGATTTTTGTAAATTGTTTTTAATAAAAGTATTACCGAAAAAGTACAATTTACACCTACGCATACGGAAGCAAGACTTCTCAAAATTGCCATTCAATCCCCGAAAGCCGTCGTACCCTTTTACGCAAAATATTATGACGCGACGTTATTAATTGTTATCGTCACTGACGGAAAATATTCTTGTGTACTTTAGAAAAAAACAAGCTTGGCAGTAAACGGAAAATTGCGGAATATTTCCTCGCACTGAAGGAGTTAAAGCTTTTTGTACGCCTCATAACGAATAAAATTACATCGGAAGAAAATATATAAGTGAAAAATGCGATTAAAAAAATAATCATTGAATTATATAATATTACTAATATTATCAAAATTGGGTAAAACGGAACAGCCAAAACAGAATTTGTCGTATTAGAATCGAAATAATTCATGGCAGCCGTAGATCTGTTTTCATTTAACCATGGGTTGGGCATTTATATTCGTATTTTACCCCTCGCTACCGCTCAGGGTAAAATAATCGAATATAAATACCCAACCCATGGTTAATGAAAACAAATCTACGGCTGCCATGAATTATTTCTTGATTGTTGCCCACTGTTCTCTATTCAATATACCGGGGTATTAGCACCTCAATCATTTTTTGGTCCATTTTTCTCATTCTTTTATGCTTTGTCCTTTATTCTCTATTTAAAAAAAACACCATCCGCACCCTCATAAAACTACTCGTCAACAAGAGGTTATATATACTAAGTATATACAATGTTTGTCGTTAGGCAAAATTCGGATAATTCTGCTCTGACCGTAGAAAAATATTGTACATGTTTCTCTTCGAAAATAGAAAACATTAACACAGACAAGGAAAGAGGATGCAAAACCAAGGTTCAATCCGATAAGGAGGACGACTCAGAGACATGCTGTCAGAGACGTCAAATAGAAAATGAAATGGACGGGGAAGATTCTGAGGTCTCAATGACAGACAAAGCTAGAGAAAAGTGTATTTATTTCAAACAAGAAAAGAACAATTTGATGCAAGGTAAATGTTTATAGAATTTCGTTTATTTTTTTTTAATATTACCGTTTCCTCTTCCATTCTCTTCTGTTTGTTTAATATTTTTTTCCTTATTGCTCGATCTCAACTCTCCAAATCGGCAATCATCTGGTGAATCCGTTATTCTCTTTCTGAGGAACGCTTGCCCTTATCTTTTCTACTTATCTAATCTTGTTTACTAAATATTTTTGCCAATTTGTCCATCTGACCTTATACGGCCTGGATATTCTTGATTTTTTTTGGTCTATTATTCTCTATTCTTTACTTTTTGACACCCCATTATTCTCTATTCCTTTTTTTTTTCATTTTTCTTTATACCTTATTTCCTTTGACCCATTCTTCTCTATTGTCTGAACCCAATCCCGACACTCCACTATCACGCCCTTTCATTGTCCACTTCTCATTTCTTCCGTTCGAATCACTACGCAGTCAACTCTTTATTTTTCTCGCGAGATTTCACTGTTGAATAGTACTAGTCTCCTTTCTGGCTATTGCTAAATTACCGGATTTCACTTTTTGATTTTTAGTGTCTAACGCCACTTTTAAGCACCGCTTTTGGGCTATTTCGTGGCGGACAGTTTTTATTGGTGGAGGAATCTGGAGTGCCCGGAGGAAACCACCGACCTTCGATAGGAAAATGACAATCCTAGTCAATTAAGATTGGAGTCGAGTGCACCTGCCCGAGCGGGTTTCGAACTCACAACCTCAGTGTTGACTGGCTAGTTATTACAGTAGTAACTACTTAGACCACTCGGTCACCGAGTCCCCGATTTCACTTTATGCATGTAGACTCCATAGTTTGATTTTATACTATTCTGTGAGATTTGTGTTTAAATTTCAGAGTGGAATGAAGAGCGAAAACTTTAGAATAGGGGATTTATTGGATGAGGGTTTAGAATGGGTCCCTCATTCTTTAATTTTTTTACCTTTGTCATGTTTATTCGCTGCACTTTTTGTCTCTATTCTGTCAACCCCATTCAGACCCTCTTAGATTTGAACCTATAAACGTTGCGTTGCATTGCAAGGGGCCACATATGTTCAAGGATCTGAATAGGTTTACATAATAGAGAATAATGGTCGACTCTTAAAGTTCAAAATAAAGGGCCATAAAAAGAAAATAGACAAAAGAAGTCAAGAATAGAGAAACAATGGGTGCAACAACAAGAATAGAGAATAACGGACAAAATGAAAAACAGTAGAGAAAATTGGTCTAAAATATAAAAGAAATGAAGGACTTAATTCCCATCCAGACCATCATGTAGAGAGCATGATGACTCTCGTGGACACCACCTCTACTCGAGGCATCACATTTAAGGTACACATTTTAATGTGTTAATACCAGTATCTAAGATAGACCCCTAATGCTTTATCAAATAATTATGTTTCATTACTTTTACAGAACAAGAACCAAACATACAAAGTGGATTGTCCGTCAGACTGATGGGATTCTTCAGAAAGGTAAAGTAGTTCATAACCTGGCATCCTGACCCAATCTAATACTTCGTCGATATCATTGAGCCAGGATCCCAGGCTAGGTATTTCATTCTTCCGAAAGGTAGGGTATTTTATCTTCCGAAATGTTGTGTATTTTATTCTTCCGAAAAGTATGGTATTTTTTCTTCCCAATTGTAGAATATTTTATTATTTCGAAAGATGGGGTAATTAATTCTTCCGAAAGGTAGGATGATTTATTAGGGCCCCGCCGAATGGCGGTCGCCCTATAGTGATCAGTCTGTCCGTCCGTAACAAATTGTGTCCGCTCTATATCTAGAGATCCGTTATAATTTCATACTTTATACTTGACATGTATATTAACCAACACCAGAGGGTGTGTCATAATGTTTGTACAACTTTATAGGTCGAAGGTCAAGGTCAAAAACTTTGGTTTCAGGTGACAACCCCATGTCCTAAGGTAAAGATCGTGTCCGCTATCTTGAGAACCGTTATGATTTCAAAGTTTATACTTAACATGTATATTAACCAACACCAGAGGGTGTGTCATAATGTATGTTCAACTTCCTAGGTCAAAGTTCAAGGTCAAAAACTTTGGTTTCAGTTGACAACCCCATGTCCTATGGTAAAGATTGTGTCCGCTCTATATCTTGAGAACCGTTATGATTTCAAAGTTTATACATGACATGTATATTAACCAACACCAGAGGGTATGTCATAATGTATGTACAACTTCCTAGGTCAAAGTTCTAGGTCAAAAACTTTGGTTTCAGATGACAACCCCATGTCCTATGGTAAAGATACAATTGGCTCCCATCTCAATGATGTCTAGTTTGTCCACAAGGTAGACATAAAAAAGAAGATGTGGTATGATTGCCAATGAGACAACTCTCCACAAGAGACCAAATGACACAGAAATTAAAAACTATAGGTCACCATACGACCTTCAACAATGAGCAAAGCCCATACCGCACAGTCAGCTATAAAAGGCCCCGAAATGACAATGTAAAACAATTCAAACGAGAAAACTAACGGCCTTATTTATGTACAAAAAATGAACGAATAACAAATATGTAACACATAAACAAACGACAACCACTGAATTACAGGCTCCTGACTTGGGACAGGTACATACATACAGAATGTGGCGGGGTTAAACATGTTAGCGGGATCCCAACCCTTCCCCTAACCTGGGACAGTGGTGTAACAGTACACTATAAGAACGAACTATAAAAATCAGTTGAAAGAGGCTTAACTCATCAGATGGATAAAATACAAATACTACAAATACAAGTGGACGTGGCCGGGTAGTTATACATCCAAAAAACAAAAAGACACTAAGTACAGATCTGAGAGTACTCGCAGTAACTGACAGCTAATCCAAAGCCACTAACAACTAATAAAAAAAAATCATGCATCTAAGACTAAATTATCAATCCGTACACATCCAACATCCTATTTTATTCTTCCGAAAGGTTAGGTATACATATTAAAAAAAATTAGAGACCATTCATAATGTGCATATTTATTCATTCGATTTCAAAAACATTTTTGATTTACAGTTAAATAATGAAAAAAACCCAGATATTTAGAAGTTCATTTGTGAAATTTCGAAGTGGACAGTTAGGGAAGGTCAAGGAGGATATGACCCCTTTTAGGCCAAAATTTGTGTACTTTTACTTCATGTTTTCAATGTTGACTGCGGGTCCCTGTTGATTTATATATTTTTTGGTAGGCTCCTCCCCCTTTGAAAAATACTAAATCCTCAACTGACATTATAACCTGGTTCCATGCCCACAAACACAATCTCATATTTGTTGTTAAACTCAAGAGAGACGGTCTGGGTATAGAGGGAAAACAAGGGGGCTGGGGCGGGGTCTTCATGTCTGTATTTTTAATTTCTTTATGCCACTTTCTCTTTTCTTTATTTAGTTTGCCATTTATTCTATATTGTTAAAATTTTAGAACCCAAATATTTTCTGTTGTTAAATTATTTGATCCATTTTCGGTATTCTTTATTTCATTTCAGAAGTCCAGGTCCTCCAAAAGAGAGCAGAAATCTAAAGAGAAAGATAGGAAAGGTAAAAATATTTACATTTTTTGTATCTTTATTTCAAATAAATGAAAGCATTTGATATATGTGCATGCTTTACAAAAGATAATAATCTCGACTGATGTGTTTCTACGGCAGTTGCACAATTTTATTCCCAATTTGTATAACATTTTAACTGGTCAAATGTCCTTTAAAATTAGACGTCAGGTAAGATTTACCTTGTTTAAGCCACTAACGGACAGGTATCAGTGGAATTGGAAATCATACCAGAACTCTATGAAAATATTACTATCTCGTTGGAGCGTGCTCGTCTATAGTGCCAAATAAAAATTAAAAAGGCCCTTAAAAGAGAAAAAAATAGACAAACTAATAAAGAATATAGAATAATGGGTTGCTACAATATAATAAATAGAGAATAACGGACAAAATAAATAAAGAAAAGAGAAAATGGTATAAAAAACGAAAGAACAAACGAATGAAGGACACCCCATCAAGACCATCAGGTAGAGAGCATGATGACTCTCGTGGTTATTTCCTCTAATCGAGGCATCACATTTAAGGTACAAATTTTAATGTGTTAATACCAGTACCAAAGATAGATCCCTAATGCTTTATCAAATTATTATGTTTCATTACTTTTACAGAACAAGAACCAAAAATAGAAGGTGGATTGTTCGCCAGGCTGATGGGATTCTTCGGAAAGGTAAGGTATTTCATTCTTCCGAAAGGTAGGGTATTTTATCTTCAGAAAGGTTGGGTTTTTTATTCTTCCGAATGGTAGGGTATTTTTTCTTCCGAATGATACAATATTTTATTCTTCCGAAAGGTAGGGAAATTGATTTTGCGCTATACTTTACAATAATTTCGAAGTGGACATTAAGGGAAGGTCACTTTCACTTCATGTTTTCAATGTTGGCTGCGGGTCCCTGTTGGTTGTTTTTTTTTGGTAGGCGCCTCCCCTTTGAAAAATACTAAATCCTCATGCAACTGACATTATAACCCAGTTCCATGCTCACAAGCACAATCTCATATTTACAGTGGTATTGACTGCGACAGCAATAATGACCTCGCCTATGGCTCAGTCATAATCGCTTTCTTAGTCAATACCACTGTCCTGTGGGCAGTCCATATACCACGATAATGACCAGTTTTTCAATAACTATTATGTTTATTTCATTGAAGAACCATATTTTTAAAAATTCTCATAAATTCAAATTGTTCAAAGCAAACTTAAGTTATTGTACGATTTCTATAGGAAAGAGTGAAGACCAGTCATAGTGATAACTATAAATCACTGCCATTCATTTATGTGCAATTTTTCAGTATATATGAATACAAAATAAAGTTTTATATAATTTTATAATTAACGAATCGCGATTTCGTTTTATGAAAGGGACATCATTCTGTTAAAGACCGATGGAATTTTTTACTGAAAAATAAAGAATGTCATGTGGCCCCTTGTTATCAAATGAGAGAAGCTAATTCTAAATCGATATAAAATAAGTGTTGTTTAATCCTTAAGAGACGCTCTTGATATGGAGGGAAAACAAGGGGTGGTGGTGGTGGTGGTGGGGGGGGGGTCTTCATGTCTGTATTTTTGAATTGTTTAGGCCACTTTCTCTTTTCTTTCTTTATTTTGCCATTTATTCTGTATTGTTAAAATTTTAGAACCCAATTATTTTCTGTTCTTAAATTATTTGATTTTTTTTCGGTATTCTTAATCTCATTTCAGAAGTCCAGGTCCTCCAAAAGAGAGCAGAAATCTAAAGAGAAAGATATGAAAGGTAAAAAATATACATTTTTTATATCCAGTTTATTTCAAATAAATGAGGGGCCGAGTGGTCTAAGTAGTTACTACTATAATCACTAGCCAGTCAACACTGAGGTTGTGAGTTCGAACCCCGCTCGTGCGGGTGCACTCGACTCCAATCTTAATTGACTAAGATTGTCAGTTTTCCTATCGAAGGTCGGTGTTTTTCTCCGGGCACTCCGGCTTCCTCCACCAATAAAAACTGGCCGCCACGAAATAGCCAAAAAGCGGTGATTAAAAGTAGCGTTATAACACTAAAAATCAATTCAAATCAAATCAAATAAATGAAAGTATTTGATATATGTGCATGGTTAACAAAAGATAATAATCTCGACTGATGTGTTTCTACGGGAGTTGCAAAATGTTATTCTCCCTTTGTATCACAATGTCACGTTTAAAACATTTTAAAAGGTCAAACGACCTTTAAAGTGAGACGTCAGGTCAGATTTAACCATGTTTAAGCCACTCACGGACAAGTATCAGTCGAATTGGAAATCATACCACAACTATATGACAATATTACGATCTTGTTGGATACATGTAGTGATCGGGGTGTTATAATTGGTATTATTTACATAGTAAACTGCCGGCACAATCTATCATCATATACATGTACAATACAGAGCTCATTTTCAAATCGCAGAAACATGCTATAGTCCAGAATGTGCATTTTAACCGCCACTGGGCGTTTAACCGGATAATATAACGAAATAGTCAAAGCAGTCCAACGTCAAGTTTATGAATATTTCTACTTAGTGGACATTTTCCACCACTGTTTTTTCAATAAATTTTGAGTCCTTTTGGAGATAAAATATGATGAAAAAAGTTTGGGGTACCAACTTCGTTTTGTCACAATAGCAACCTCAGTTTCGTATTATGCATTTTTTTTCTTGAATTTCTTAAATTTCAAGACATTTTTCAGATTTACATATCTTGATTATATTCAATTTTACAGGAAAATTTAAAAGTAAAGACTCAGGATCCAGGCCTTTCATGGACGTATTTCTTTGTTGCGGATTGAAATAATTATGTCTTTCGTCGATTGATTGTGTAAACAGTATATTGCATAAAAAAAAAAAAAAAAAAATAAAAAATAAAAAATAACGAAACACAAAAAAAAAAATATAAAAGAGGTCCCATATTGGTGTGACCTTAAAAAAACAAACAAAAAGAAAATAATATGAAATTTAAAAAAAATGTTGATATTGTATGTGTTTAATATTGTTATTATAATTAAAGGGGCTCTTATTTTTATATTCTGTACTCTTATATGAATTATTAGGGAGGCATTCGTCTTTATCTTTTTAATAGTAAACGCTAATTCTGTAAAATTCTATCTGTATTTAGTTTATATTTTCCAAATTTATTCGTTTTACTTTTGCATCCTAGGCCTATTATTCTGTACTCTTTTTTTGTTTGTTTATCTTTATTTTTGTAGTTTTGGGGTAATTTTTATCTATTCTGAAACCCTATCTAGACCCTTCAATTATACTCCACTCTATGAGTGAGGCTTTTATTGTATTTAAATCTTGTCTTCCGTTCGTCTATTAGTCCAACCAATATTTCTGCCCCATTTCACCCCCGATAAAACTGAACAAAATTATTATTTGGTCAGCATTTTGAAAGTGATGAACTGTAACGTGTAGCCTCTTAATGGATCCGCAAGACACCAACTCCCGATTCTTTTAATTTTTCAATATGTTTTTCCCCGTCACATCATTCTAAAGTATTTCTCAAAAAAATATACAGATTTAACCATCATTAAAACAATGATTAGTTGTAACATGTGAGCGCTTTTTATTCACCTCGCCGTCAACGGAGGCGGCATTGAGTGTTATCCCTGTCTGTACGTATGTCCGAAAATTGGTTCCGGTCTTTAACTTTATTTTACTTCAACCAAATGTTATGCAACTTATACAGAATGTTTATAACCACAAAATACAGACCAATTTCGAATTAAGGTGTCGTCACATTTATCGTACTCGAGTTATGCTCCTCTATAACGTTATATGCAAGCGGATGTATCATTCGTGTCCCATTGTCACATTCTCCATTTATTTCATTTATCTTTTTTGACACCAACTTCATATAGTTTCCGATACTTTTAACTACGACTGGAGGTATATATACTTAGCACGATTAACCTAAACGTGCACTCTTGTTTCTTTCAATTATGATTCTGTATTTGAACAAATGCATCTGTGTGTGTTATAAAAAAAAAAAAAAAAAATTAAAGAAATGTATAAAATTTAGAAGAAAAAAAAATAAATAAAAAAAAATAGTCATGCAACTGTGTGTGTTAAGAAATTGTCAAAAAAAGATAAGAAAAGTAAAAATACAAAACAAAAAACAAAAAAGGATGACCTTGTGTGTGAATCGTTTAATTTTGTTTAAAGTATGATTATTTATGCAACTGTGAGGGTGTTAAAATATAATTATAAATATTTAAAAATTAAAAATACAAAAAAAAAAAAATAAAAATAATAATAAGGATGAGTTTAAAAAACATTTAAGAAAAATGAAAAAAAAACACTATAAAATACAAAAAAAAATATAAAAAAATAAGGAGGAACTTGTGTGTGTGTGTGTGTGTTAAAAAAGGATGAGCTTGTGTGTAGGAGCTTGTAATTTGTTTCAAATGTGACTATCTAAACAACTTTGTGTCCGTTTTAAAAATACAAAATGTAAAAAAGTATAAAATAAGATTGTATGTTGTGATATATATGTTGTGTACTCTAACAGTTGCATAAATAAACAGTCATGAGTGTTGTTACATATGTAAATTTTGTTAAGCATTATTGTGTTAAATATATGTGTTATGTATATTAAATATTTCAATATTGTTTAATTGTAGTTGTTGTTGTTGTTTTTTTTTTGTGTATTTTTCCGTATATCTTTAAAACTTATTGGTTACTCTGTTACGTTTCCATGAAAATTATTTCATAAAAAGATCAATCTGTGATTGTATATTGTTCTTGTAAGTCTGTAAAAAGAAGCAAATGGCAAAATCAAAAGCTCAAACCCATCAAACGAATAGATAACAACTGTCATATTCCTGACTTGGTACAGGCTTTTTCTGATATAGAAAATGGTGGATTAAACCTTGGTTTTTTAGCTAGCTAAACCTCTCACTTGTATGACAGTCGCAAAAATTCCATTTTATTGACAACAATGTGTGAACAAAACAAACAGACATAAGTGGGTCATAAGTAATAGTAAACTAGAGGCTCTAAAGAGCCTGTGTCGCCCACCTTGGTCTATGTGCATATTAAGCAAAGGACACATGGATTCTTGACAAAATTGTGTTTTTGTGATGGTGATGTGTTTGTAGATCTTACTTTATTAAACATTCTTGCTGCTTACAATTATCTCTATCTATAATGAACTTGGCCCAGTAGTTACAGTGGAAAATATTTTGTAAAAATTTACAAAAATTTACAAAATTTATGAAAATTGTAAAACATTGACTACAAAGGGCAATAACTCCTTAAGGGGTCAATTGACAATTTTGGTCATTTGACTTATTTGTAGATCTTACTTTGCTGTACATTATTGCTGTTTACAGTTTATCTATATCTATAATAATATTCAAGATAATAACCAAAAGCTGCAAAATTTTCTTAAAATTACCAATTCAGGGGCAGCAACCCAACAACGTGTTGCCTGATTGGTCTGAAAATTTCAGGGCAGATAGATCTTGACCTAATGAACAATTTTATCCTGAGCAGATTTGCTCTAAATGCTTTGGTTTCAGAGATATGAAAAATTGACTATAAAGGGCAATAAATCCTTAAGGGGATAGTTGGCAATCATACCACATCTCCTCATTTTTATATATAAGCCTATCAAGAATCTATTAAACTGTTGATTATTGTAAAAACCAACTAATTACGCAACTTTCGGGAGTAGAAAAATAACGCGAATATGTAAAACTTGTAATATAAATACATGATGGAACAGTGGGATAGATAGGGGTAAACGTGAAATAAAGTATCCGCGTAACTGATAAATTGGTTCACAGTACCTATACCCAGGAAATCCATGAACATTGACCATGTTGACCAGTGCCTATAGCCTATGAATAACAATAAATCCACAGTACAATGAATCCACAGTACATCAATACACACTTCTGATTGACTCTGAATGTTTTTGAGCTTGACATTTAGTCCGACATGGTGGTGCTCTTAATGAAAGGAGGCTTATACGTAGCATACACACATAGATTTGTCATTTCAGGGCCTTTGCGGTATGGGCTTTGCTCATTGTTGAAGGCCGTACGGTGACCTATAGTTGTTAATTTCTATATCATTAATTGGTCTCTTGTGAAGAGGAACGTTGTCTCATTGGCAATCATGCCACATTTAAATTTTTATATAGACACCTGTCTCTTGTTAAAGACTCTCTGTAGCCCTCTAGACATCTTTTGATTAGTTATGTAGGTGAGGTCATCGTCTCGTTAAGTATCTAGAGAACATAAAATTTCAAACTTGCCCTCAACTCCAGCTAGTTCGAATGACTTTTTTAAACTAGGGTTGGGTTTGAGGTCTTCATGCGCCCTGAACACTACTGAACAAGAATGTGTTCATAGGAACACCATGCCCTGTCTGCATTATCACATTTCCATGTTCAGTAAATGGATCAATTTAAGTCTTAACCCAGATTTGACATATATCTAAATATGTATACTGCACAGTTTCACGTTGATGTGGCCCAGGGCCGTAACTACATTGAGGCAAATGAGGCAAATGCCTCATGTTGGAAATTTCAAAAAAAAAAAATAATAATAATAAGTTGAAACAAAAGCTTGTCTTCATATCAAATTGTTTTCACGGCGAGTGTCTTACAAGAACCTCTGACGTCGCCCCTGTTTTTTCGAGATCCATGTTTCTCATTTATTTTTAGTTTTCAGTGTTGATTGTCTATTGTTTGTCGTAATGTGTCTAAAATCTGTTCCCAGGTTTGTCTTTTGTTCATTGGTTGCCCTTGTCTATGACTATTCTCCTAGTTTTGAATTTAATTTGTAAATTAGTAATTTTGTTTTAAACTCGAGTTTTATTATATTTAAGGACCTTTTGTCTCATTTTAAAAACCACTTTAAATTGTAAAAATAATTGAAATTAGCTCTCGACTTTTTGTTCTGAGGCGGCGTTAAGCGAACACCAATCAATCAATCGATCTATATGACTATGGTTTCAGTTGTCTAAAAGAGGGACGAAAGATACCAGAGGGACAGTCAAACTCATAGATCGAAAACAAACTGACAACGCCATGGCTAAAAATAAAAAGACAAACAGACAAATAATAGTACAGATGACAGAACATAGAAAACTAAAGACTAAGCAACACGAACCCCACCAAAACCTGGGGGTGATCTCAGGTGCTCCGGAAGGGTAAGCAGATCCTGCTCCACATTTGGCACCCGTTGTGTTGCTTATGTTATTACAAATCCGGTAAATAGTCTAATTCGGTAGGTCACATTTGTGAAAAGGGAAGGGTATTGTAGTTACGACATAAGGAACATATCCGATATCATCTGTGAAATGGTTATTCCATAACGGTCAACCAACTCGTGATGGCGTCTAAATTAATATTCCTTGTTGTGAACGTTCATTCTATGCTTTGCGTAGACTTAAGGTAGCACTCCACAGTTAGGTGTGTAGTTTCGCATTTTGGCCCCTGTGGATTTTTCAAATATGAGAGCTAGTGTGCAATATAATTCATTTTTGGATAACTGAAGACTAAAATAGCCTTCATAGTGGGTTTATATGAACATCAAGATTATGTTATGTATGTAATATAGGCTGTTTTCTGTATGACAGTCCGTATTTGCATATCCATACCAAACATTGGTCCGGCAATTATTGTAATGTTTTTTTCCAACTTTTTGTCGCACGAACTTTGTGATTAAATTTTACGAAAAAATGAGGCGAAAGACACCCATTTTTTATTTGATCATTAGGTAGATTAATGTCAACAGTTTCTGAAAAGGTATCACTCAAAGGCATTGAAATTCTAGTTTGATCCAAATTTTGGGCCGGGGATATGTGACATTTTCACCCCCATTTTTGCAAGATTTTATGGTAAATAAATGCAGAATGTTGCCATGGATACACAAAAAAGGAATTATATTTCACCAATTTAACTTTTGAAAATCAAATCTTTGGAAGATACTGATTACATACATATGCACATGTATAACACAAACAGTTAGGTTAATGTATTAGAAAGCCAGAAATAGAAGATGATAAAATATTTTGTGGTTCAATTTTAATTTTATTTTCTAACTGTGGAGTGCTACCTAAGACTTTGGAAAGATCTACGATAACTAGTGAACGGTCATGTGTGGTTTGCCAATATTACATGCCCACCGATGTCCAGATATTGTTCGAGAAAATGCTTTGAGAAGATACGATGCTACCCGTAACCGGACATTAAAAAAATGTCGTTTTTCCATGGAAAATTAAACTTAATGTTAAAGAATACAAAACTGGCTCTCTTTTCAGTAAATAAATACTAAAATGCTGACATGGGTAAATTTAAAGTGAAACAACCCAATTTCCCGGAATCAGACCATTTAAATAGAAAATAATGTATTGCTATATGACCTTTTCAATTGAGGGGATAAACTTGTTCATGCCCTAAAACAGAAAATAAAGGGATATGGAGTAAATGTCCATGGGACAAAATCGCACACAATACGTAGAAAAAATACAAATTATCAATGAACAGGGCTTTTATTCCTGTTCTTAATCTTGACAGTCGCTGGAGGGTCCTCAACAATGAACGAATCATTCATACCCTACAACAAGGCCAAGACGGCCCCTTGCAACTTAAGCAGTACTTAAAGTATTGTACTGTGAATAAATTTTAAAGCCACAAAAATATAACACCAAAGTCTAAACACAATGCAAGACCAGAACAGACAGATCCGACATTAATCAGCCGGTATACATATTAAAACTGCACAAAAATGAGGCAATGAGGTCTTAGAACAGTTTTCCTGAGTGTACCCTTTTATCCCAGTTAGAAACTACATCAAGTTGTAATTGAAATGTGTTATAAAAACTGAATTATAGTTATATCAATGGTAATCAACCCCCTCTTAACTTAATTTAAAAAAAAAACAGAATTGACAGGTATAATACGTTTTTCTGCAAGCCAAAACTCAATAAGAAAAAAAACAAAAATAGACAGCAGCCACACACTTGACTATATATATAAACTCAAGCGTACTTTAAACCAACACTCGAAACTCTCTTAAACTAAAGTCTTATCTATTTCAAACCAAATAAAATGCTTCGCTGGGCGCAGATTGATACGACCGCAGAGGTCGAACCCTGAACAGTTGGGGCAAGTATGGACACAACATTCAAGCTCTAAATTTGGATTGTGATTAAATATTTGACACAGCATAGGTTTCTGACACAGAAAGAATGTGGTCTAAGAACTTGATTTTTTTAATTCACCTATTATGGTCCAATGTCCAAAATCAAAATACATGGTTAGATTCAGCATATCAAAGAACCCCATATATTCATTTTTTGTTGAAATCAAACAAAGTTTAATTTTGGACCAAACTTGGACAAACTTGAAAACTGGGCCCATTATCAAAAATCTAAACACATGTTTAGATTCAGCATATCAAAGAACCCCAAGATTTCAATTTTTGTTAAAATCAAACTAAGTTAAATTTTGGACCCTTTGGACCTTAATGTAGACCAATTTAAAAAACGGGACCCAAAATTAAAAATCTAAATACACGTTTAGATTTGGAATATCAAAGAACCCCAATAATTCAATTTTTTATGAAATCAAACAAAGTTTAATTTTCGACCTTTTTGACCTCGATATGAACCAATTTAATAGCGGGGCCCACAAATAAAAAATCTAAATACATGGTTAGATTCAGCATATCAAAGAACCCCATATATTCATTTTTTGTTGAAATAAAAAAAAAGTTTAATTTTGGACCCCAACTTGGACCAACTTGAAAACTGGGCCCATAATCAAAAATCTAAACACATGTTTAGATTCAGCATATCAAAGAACCCCAAGATTTCAATTTTTGTTAAAATCAAACTAAGTTAAATTTTGGACCCTTTGGACCTTAATGTAGACCAATTTAAAAAACAAGACCCAAAATTAAAAATCTAAATACACGGTTAGATTTGGCATATCAGAGCCCCAATAATATAATTTTTGATGAAATCAAACGAAGTCTAATTTTGGACCCTTTTAACCTCAATATGAACCAATTTGATAGCGGGGCCCATGAATAAAAAATCTAAATACATGGTTAGATTCAGCATATCAAAGAACCCCATATATTCAATTTTTGTTGAAATCAAACAAAGTTTAATTTTGGACCCCAATTTGGACCAACTTGAAAACTGGGCCAAAAATATAAAATCTAAATACATGTTTAGATTCAGCATATCAAAGAACCCCATATATTCAATTTTGTTGAAATCAAACAAAGTTTTATTTTGGACCCTAACTTGGACCAACTTGAAAACTGGGCCCATAATAAAAAATCTACATATCAAAGAACCCCAAGAATTCAATTTTTGTTAAAATCAAACTAAGTTTAATTTTGGACCCTTTGGACCTTAATGTAGACCAATTTAAAAAACGGGACCCAAAATTAAAAATCTAAATACACGGTTAGATTTGGAATATCAAAGAACCCCAATAATTCAATTTTTTATGAAATCAAACAAAGTTTAATTTTGGACCCTTTTGACCTCAATATGAACCAATTTAATAGCGGGGCCCACAAATAAAAAATCTAAATACATGGTTAGATTCAGCATATCAAAGAACCCCATATATTCAATTTTTGTTGAAATAAAACAAAGTTTAATTTTGGACCCCAACTTGGACCAACTTGAAAACTGTGCCCATAATCAAAAATCTAAACACGTTTAGATTCAGCATGTCAAAGAACCCCAAGAATTCAATTTTTGTTAAAATCAAACTAAGTTTAATTTTGGACCCTTTGGACCTTAATGTAGACTAATTGAAAAAACAGGACCCAAAATTAAAAATCTAAATACACGGTTAGATTTGGCATATCAAAGAACCCCAATAATATAATTTTTGATGAAATCAAACGAAGTCTAATTTTGGACCCTTTTGACCTCAATATGAAATACAATTGAGAATGGAAATGGGGAATGTGTCAAAGAGACAACAACCCGACCATAGAACCAATTTGATAGCGGGGCCCATGAATAAAAAATCTAAATACATGGTTAGATTCAGCATATCAAAGAACCCCATATATTCAATTTTTGATGAAATCAAACGAAGTCTAATTTTGGACCCTTTTGACCTCAATATGAACCAATTTGATAGCGGTGCCCATGAATAAAAAATCTAAATACATGGTTAGATTCAGCATATCAAAGAACCCCATGTATTCAATTTTTGTTGAAATCAAACAAAGTTTAATTTTGGACCCCAATTTGGACTAACTTGAAAACTGGGCATAAAATCTAAAATCTTAATACATGTTTAGATACAGTATATCAAAGAACCCCATATATTCAATTTTGTTGAAATCAAACAAAGTTTAATTTTGGACCCCAACTTGGACCAACTTGAAAACTGGGCCCATAATCAAAAATCTACATATCAAAGAACCCCAAGAATTCAATTTTTGTTAAAATCAAAATAAGTTAAATTTTGGACCCTTTGGACCTTAATGTAGACCAATTTAAAAAACGGGACCCAAAATTAAAAATCTAAATACACGGTTAGATTTGGAATATCAAAGAACCCCAATATTTCAATTTTTTATGAATTCAAACAAAGTTTAATTTTGGACCCTTTTGACCTCAATATGAACCAATTTAATAGCGGGGCCCACAAATAAAAAATCTAAGTGCATGGTTAGATTCAGCATATCAAAGAACCCCATATAATCAATTTTTGTTGAAATCAAAAAAAGTTTAATTTTGGACCCCAACTTGGACCAACTTGAAAACTGGGCCCATAATCAAAAATCGAAACACATGTTTAGATTCAGCATATCAAAGAACCCCAAGAATTCAATTTTTGTTAAAATCAAACTAAGTTTAATTTTGGACCCTTTGGACCTTAATGTAAACCAATTTAAAAAACAGGACCCAAAATTAAAAATCTAAATACACGGTTAGATTTGGCATATCAAAGAACCCCAATAATATAATTTTTGATGGAATCAAACGAAGTCTAATTTTGGACCCTTTTGACCTCAATATGAACCAATTTGATAGCGGGGCCCATGAATAAAAAATCTAAATACATGGTTAGATTCAGCATATCAAAGAACCCCATGTATTCAATTTTTGTTGAAATCAAACAAAGTTTAATTTTTGACCCCAATTTGGACTAACTTGAAAACTGGGCCCATGAATAAAAAATCTAAATACATGTTTAGATACAGTATATCAAAGAACCCCATATATTCAATTTTTGATGAAATCAAACGAAGTCTAATTTTGGACCCTTTTGACCTCAATATGAACCAATTTGATAGCGGTGCCCATGAATAAAAAATCTAAATACATGGTTAGATTCAGCATATCAAAGAACCCCATGTATTCAATTTTTGTTGAAATCAAACAAAGTTTAATTTTGGACCCCAATTTGGACTAACTTGAAAACTGGGCATAAAATCTAAAATCTTAATACATGTTTAGATACAGTATATCAAAGAACCCCATATATTCAATTTTGTTGAAATCAAACAAAGTTTAATTTTGGACCCCAACTTGGACCAACTTGAAAACTGGGCCCATAATCAAAAATCTACATATCAAAGAACCCCAAGAATTCAATTTTTGTTAAAATCAAAATAAGTTAAATTTTGGACCCTTTGGACCTTAATGTAGACCAATTTAAAAAACAGGACCCAAAATTAAAAATCTAAATACACGGTTAGATTTGGCATATCAAAGAACCCCAATAATATAATTTTTGATGAAATCAAACGAAGTCTAATTTTGGACCCTTTTGACCTCAATATGAACTAATTTGATAGCGAGGCCCATGAATAAAAAATCTAAATACATGGTTAGATTCAGCATATCAAAGAACCCCATATATTCAATTTTTGTTGAAATCAAACAAAGTTTAATTTTTGACCCCAATTTGGACTAACTTGAAAACTGGGCATAAAATCTAAAATCTTAATACATGTTTAGATACAGTATATCAAAGAACCCCATATATTCAATTTTGTTGAAATCAAACAAAGTTTAATTTTGGACCCCAACTTGGACCAACTTGAAAACTGGGCCCATAATCAAAAATCTACATATCAAAGAACCCCAAGAATTCAATTTTTGTTAAAATCAAAATAAGTTAAATTTTGGACCCTTTGGACCTTAATGTAGACCAATTTAAAAAACGGGACCCAAAATTAAAAATCTAAATACACGGTTAGATTTGGAATATCAAAGAACCCCAATATTTCAATTTTTTATGAATTCAAACAAAGTTTAATTTTGGACCCTTTTGACCTCAATATGAACCAATTTAATAGCGGGGCCCACAAATAAAAAATCTAAGTGCATGGTTAGATTCAGCATATCAAAGAACCCCATATAATCAATTTTTGTTGAAATCAAAAAAAGTTTAATTTTGGACCCCAACTTGGACCAACTTGAAAACTGGGCCCATAATCAAAAATCGAAACACATGTTTAGATTCAGCATATCAAAGAACCCCAAGAATTCAATTTTTGTTAAAATCAAACTAAGTTTAATTTTGGACCCTTTGGACCTTAATGTAAACCAATTTAAAAAACAGGACCCAAAATTAAAAATCTAAATACACGGTTAGATTTGGCATATCAAAGAACCCCAATAATATAATTTTTGATGGAATCAAACGAAGTCTAATTTTGGACCCTTTTGACCTCAATATGAACCAATTTGATAGCGGGGCCCATGAATAAAAAATCTAAATACATGGTTAGATTCAGCATATCAAAGAACCCCATATATTCAATTTTTGTTGAAATCAAACAAAGTTTAATTTTGGACCCCAATTTGGACTAACTTGAAAACTGGGCCAAAAATCTAAAATCTAAATACATGTTTAGATACAGCATATCAAAGAACCCCATATATTCAATTTTGTTGAAATCAAACAAAGTTTAATTTTGGACCCCAACTTGGACCAACTTGAAAACTGGGCCCATAATTAAAAATCTAAACACATGTTTAGATTCAGCATATCAAAGAACCCCAAGAATTCAATTTTTGTTAAAATCAAACTAAGTTTAATTTTGGACCCTTTGTACCTTAATGTAAACCAATTTAAAAAACAGGACCCAAAATTAAAAATCTAAATACATGGTTAGATTTAGCATATCAAAGAACCCCAATAATATAATTTTTGATGATATCAAACGAAGTCTAATTTTGGACCCTTTTGACCTCAATATGAACCAATTTGATAGCGGGGCCCATGAATAAAAAATCTAAATACATGGTTAGATTCAGCATATCAAAGAACCCCATGTATTCAATTTTTGTTGAAATCAAACAAAGTTTAATTTTTGACTCCAATTTGGACTAACTTGAAAACTGGGCCAAAAATCTAAAATCTAAATACATGTTTAGATACAGTATATCAAAGAACCCCATATATTCAATTTTGTTGAAACCAAACAAAGTTTAATTTTGGACCCCAACTTGGACCAACTTGAAAACTGGGCCCATAATCAAAAATCTACATATCATTTTTAAGAACCCCAAGAATTCAATTTTTGTTAAAATCAAAATAAGTTAAATTTTGGACCCTTTGGACCTTAATGTAGACCAATTTAAAAAACAGGAACCAAAATTAAAAATCTAAATACACGGTTAGATTTGGCATATCAAAGAACCCCAATAATATAATTTTTGATGAAATCAAACGAAGTCTAATTTTGGACCCTTTTGACCTCAATATGAACTAATTTGATAGCGGGGCCCATGAATAAAAAATCTAAATACATGGTTAGATTCAGCATATCAAAGAACCCCATATATTCAATTTTTGTTGAAATCAAACAAAGTTTAATTTTGGACCCCAATTTGGACTAACTTGAAAACTGGGCCAAAAATCTAAAATCTAAATACATGTTTAGATACAGTATATCAAAGAACCCCATATATTCAATTTTGTTGAAACCAAACAAAGTTTAATTTTGGACCCCAACTTGGACCAACTTGAAAACTGGGCCCATAATCAAAAATCGACATGTCAAAGAACCCCAAGAATTCAATTTTTGTTAAAATCAAACTAAGTTTAATTTTGGACCCTTTGGACCTTAATGTAGACCAATTTAAAAAACAAGACCCAAAATTAAAAATCTAAATACACGGTTAGATTTGGAATATCAAAGAACCCCAATAATATAATTTTTGATGAAATCAAACAAAGTTTATTTTTGGACCCTTTTGACCTCAATATGAAGCAATTTGAAAGCGGGGTCCACAAATAAAAAATCTAAATACATGGTTAGATTCAGCATATCAAAGAACCCCATATATTCAATTTTTGTTGAAATCAAACAAAGTTTAATTTTGGACCCCAATTTGGACCAACTTGAAAACTGGGCCAAAAATCAAAATACATGTATAGATTCGGCATATCAAAGAACGCCATATATTCATTTTTTGTTAAAATCAAACAAAGTTGAATTTTGGACCCTTTGGACCTTAATGTAGACCAATTTGAAAACTGGACCCAAAATTAAAAATCTAAATACACGGTTAGATTCGGCATAACAAATAAATAAATGTGGTCAAAGATTTTACAAATCTAATGCGCCATACTGTGCAATTAAAGATTTCTTCTTGAAATTTTTCAATATTTGAAATTTGAAAAAAAAAAAAAATATTTGAAGAATAATTCTTTTTAATTTCTGAAATCTGAAATGAGAAAAAATTGACCCCCCACAATTTCTCCCCCCCTTTTTTCCCCCAAAAAATTCTTTCCCTCAAGATATGGTCATAATCTAAATTCAAATTTCCAATGGAGTTTGCAACCATTATTACCCATTTAAATTTACCATAGTGCTAACTTAATCTATTTTATAATAGAATTTAAAATATAGTGTCAAATCTTTCATATGGATTTTTTTGTAAAAAAAAAAAGATGCAACATTTGCAGATATTTTTACTGGTCTTCCTTTATAGATGTGCATTTCTTTAAACATAATTTAAAAGCAGTGTAAGGGAAGTTACCAAAACGTTGTATTTGGATTACCTCCCTTACACTGTTTTAAATTATCTTAATTGTTCATTAACCATTACTTTATACATAATTTAAAAGCAGTGTAAGGGAGGTAATTTCAATGATGTATTTGATTTATCTCCCTTACACTGCTTTAAATTATGTTTTGTACTAAAGTATTTGTCCATTAACCAGGACAACCTTGTGTTTCCCCCTTTTTTGCACCTAATTCCTAAACGGTTTGAGCCATAACCCCCCAAAGCAAATCCTAACCATCCCTTTGTGGTATGGAAACTTGTAGTACAATTTCAGAGAGATCCATTCACCGTTCCACAGTTATTGTCTGGAAACTAGAAAATGCTTATTTTTTGGCTCCTAATTCCTTAACTGTTGGTACCATAACCCCCAAAATCAACCCTAACCTTCCTTTTGTGGTATTTAACCTTATGGTAAAATTTCAAAGAGATCCATTCACTTAAACTAAAGTTAGAGTGCGAAAACCAATGTGTCTTTGGACGACGACAACGAAGACGCCAACGTCATACCAATATACGACCGCAAAATTTTTTTGCGGTCGTATAAAAACCAGCCTACCTTAAACCAATACTCTACCTGAAGCTAAAACACTAGCTTACTTTAAACCATAACTCTAACCTACCTCAAAGCAAAAATTCTAACCAATATTTAAACCTACTTTTAAACAAAAACTCTAGCCTACTTTAAACCAAAACTCTACCCTACCCTAAACCCATACTCTAATCTACCTTAAAGCAAAAATCCAACCTCCCCTAAATAAAAACTCTAGTCTATTTTAAACCAAAACTTTAGTCTAACTTAAACGAAACTCTAACTCTACCTTACACAAAAACTTGAGCTTACCTTAAACCAAAACTTGAACCTTCCTTAAACCAAAACTTTAACCTACCTTAAACCAAAACTTTAGCCTACCTTAAACCAAAACTTTAACCTACCTTAAACCAAAACTCTAACTCTACCTTGAACCAAAACTTTAGCCTACTTAAACCAAAACTTTAGCCTACCTTAAACCAAAATTTTAGCCTACCTTTAACCAAAACTTTAGCCTTCCTTAAACCGAGACTCTAACCTACCATAAACTAAAACACTTATCTACCTTTAACAAATAATTCTGAGACAGGACCAACAGCTGGAAGGATTGTCAAACCAGAAAACATCGCTACCGTAGGAGGAGAGGCATTACATAGGTTGCCTTGAATGGGATCTACAGAATTAGACTGGTCACAGGGTTTGAACTTACATGAGCAATACAATGGGTGTCACATGTGGAGCAGGATCTGCTTACCCATCAGCAGAACCTGAGATAACTCACTGTTTTTTGTGTTGCTCAGTCTTTAGTTTTTTATGTCATGTTTTGTATACTGTTGTTTGTCTTTTACCATGGCATTGTCAGTTTGTTTCTTTACCTCTGATTTGGAATATCCCTTTGGTATCTTTAGCTTTCCAATAATGATAGATCGAAGTTGAGACAATGTTGATCATAATCAGAAAAAGAAACACGAAAAAAATATTTTCAAACAATACCAAAAATATATTTCATACTTTTATTAAAGAGAAATAAAAATCATGAATTGCCTTATACATTAAAGACTTCCATAGAAAAGGCGCTTCATGATTTTGTTTAAATTAATTATAAATAATTATTAAATTTTTGGTCAATGAATTATTTTATCGATTAGCATTTGTTGTTCAGTGAGTTGATCATAGTGTAAACATTGGTAACTATAGCGTTATCGATTCAAAAATAAACCAAGGAAAGTAATAAGCCAGCATACTTATGGGGGTGTTTATACTCGTGAGTTACCTTTTTCATCTTTTTTCTCTTTAAAGAACGCGTCTTCAACCAGTTTTGTAACGACATTAAGATTTGTGTTTCAATTTTTTTATTTTGATTTGTATTCAGAACACTTATTTTTTTACCGTCACCGCTATGGTAAAAGCTACAATCGCTGCTGCAGATGGACACTGTATGTAGTGTGCCGGTAGATAATTTGAAACTCGAAACTCACATATTGATAATGTAAAATACATGATTGAAAAAAAAAAAAAAATTACACTTCTAAAGTTTGGTCGTCGTTTCAAAAGTGAGGCATTTGCCTCAGTTGCCTCCATTACGCTACGGCCCTGAGAACTTTTTTTTTAAATGAATTTAAAGATTTTCAAAGATTCCAAGAGATATTGGAATGGGTTTGTCTAATTGTTGAAGGCTGTACAGTTGCTTATAATTGCTAAAATCCACTTCATTTGAACTTGGGTGAATTGTTGTCTCATTGGCAATCATACCACATCTCCTTATTTTCAATTACTCTAGATATCAGCACAACAATGTTAAATCTGCAAATTTCGAACTCATGATATTAGGATATCGAGACAACACCGATATATATATAAGCACTACTAGAAAAGTGAATTGAAGAATGCGCAAACTTTCCAATTTTATTTCAAAAAGTAAATTACTTATTTCATAGACTACACTTGTACAGAAATAAATAAGAGTACTAACTGTACAAATCTTAAAACATAAATAAAGGTTGAGATAATAATACAGTTCGTGTTTAGTTTTCCTTCTTATGTGAATATCAGATTTAAAAAGTTATTTTATGAACTACAGTCCGTGTTTAGTTTTCCTTCTTGTGTAAATATCCCTTTCCAAAAAGTTATTTTATGAATTGTACTACAAAACATTATAAGATTTTCACCTATCCTAGCTGGTATTTGTTTGTTGTCATGGAAAGAATTTAATGATAAAAGCAAGTGAAAGAATTTAATGATACAATATCAATTTTATATATTTCTAACTTTAGAACATTACTGAACTATAGCTTTATTAGAAAAAAATCATAACTATGTTTATTTTTATAAATTGGTTTACTTTTATAAATTGTAACTTGGATGGAGAGTTGCCTCATTGGCACTCATACCACATCTTCCTATATTTATTCTATGAAATATTCCTTATTTTCTTCAAACTACATTGGAAGCTTGATCATGAAGCTCGAATTAATAAACTAATATTGATAATATCCATAATACCCAGTATTACTTGCTGCATAGGGACATTACTCCTGGCAAGAAATATTCATTATAAAATAAATCTGATTTGATGATTTTAGAGTCAAAGCAAATCAAAGTAAAATACTTATTGACATGTCTACACAGTAGCAATAGAAAACAATATCACATGTTATGGCACCTTTAAGATGTTCAAACAACTCTCAAGATTAAGAACAGCAATAACTAGATTGTTCTAGGAGGTCTGAACCAATAAGAAGTCACCTTCTACCATTCCACACCTTATTTGAATGGAATGCATCAGACAATTTGGTAACAAAAAGTTTGGAAATCTCATGGATTTATCCTTTTTAAATTTTTTATTAAGCATGTAGATTATTTTGTACATATAAATGAAGCAAAAGGATTTCGTACTTAACAATGATGATGGAAAAGTTAATAAACCAGGCAACTTAATAAATATTTTGCAAAAATAAAAACAAAAATCTTCATAACATTATGCATGTTTTGACAAATAAATGCTGAAAAGTTCTCCTATCAAGTATCTTGCAGCTTGAAAAGCACATCTCATGAGATTAAAAATCTAATTTAAAAACCTAATTGCTTTACGCAAGTTATTGTGTAGCATTAACAATTTGAACAAAGTCTGGTTTAAGAGAGGCTCCGCCCACTAATGATCCGTCTATGTCTGTCTGTCCTCCTAATTCTTTACAATTGGCTGCCGATACTGAGCCTAAAAAAATATAAAATAAAAAATCTAAAAATGGTGGACTACTTGTAAAATGTATCTTTATTTATAATAAACTGTTAACACAGAGATATGTCTCGCCTATTTGTTATTTTGATAATGCAAATGTTGAAATTAAAATAGCAATACTTTAACATGTAAGTTATGCAAATATTCAAAGTCAATGAACCATGACTGAAGGTACAGGGCTAAACAATCTCCATGGAATTGAGATGTGCCAATGCTAATACAACTGCAAACCAAATACCATTGACTTTTCATAAGTCGTTCCCTTTAAACAAACCTAAACACAAACATTAACTTGTAAACTATGTAAAAGTTTCAAAGTCAATGAACCATAATTAGGGGGTGGGGTTATAAAATCTCCATGGAAATGAAACTTGCAAATGCCAATACATTTGCATACCGAATATCATTGACGTAACATAAGGCGTTCATCTTAAACTGACCTAATCACAAACTAATACATGTAAACTAAGTAAAAGTTTCAAAGTCAATAGACCATGACTGAGGGGTAAGGACCAAATATTTTCCATGGAAATGAGATGTGCTAATGCGTATACAACAGCATACCAATTATCATTGACCTACCACTAACAGTTCCCCTTAAACTGACCTAATCACAAATTAATACATGAAAACTAAGCAAAAGTTTCAAAGTCAATAGACCATGACTGAGGGGGCGGGACCAAATAATCTCCATAGAAATGAGATATGCCAATGCTTATATACAACTGCATACCAAATATCATTGACCTACCACTAGTGGTTCCCCATAAACTGACACAAACTAATACATGAAAACTAAGCAAAGTTTCAAAGTCAATAGACCTTGACTGAGGAGGCTGGGCCAAATAATCTCCATGGTAATGAGATGTGCCAATGCTAATACAACTGCAGACCAAATATCACTGACCTACCACTAGTGGTTCACCATGAACTAGACCTAATCACAAACTAATACATTGTTGACGCCGCCGCCGCCACTGGAAACAGCATACCTATGTCTCGCTTTTTGACTCCGTCAAGGCGAGACAAAAATCAAATTTATTTGATTGATTTTAACCCCCCACATAGTCCCTCATGGTATATCTTTATGTTTTTCATTATTTATAGTGTTAATGACAGATCTTTGATAATGTCTGTTAAAGTTAATCACACTTCTTATAGACTTCTGACAACTTAAGAGCATGATATATTGTATAGGGGAAGATGGGTTTTTTTAACAACCTTGACTAACCATATTGTATAGACACTTGTTTTTGTTGAAGACTTTCTGTTGCCCTTGAGATGTTTTTTTTCATAGGTACATAACAAGTGGGAATTGGATAAAGAAAATGTAAATCATCTTAACCTTCAAATGCCATCAATGACAAATAGCCAATGGAATTATTGCAATATTGTTTTGTGATGCCAAATAGGCAATCCCCTTTGAAAGCCATCAATGACCTAAAGAATAGCCAATGGATATATCGCAATATTGTTTCATGATGCTGAATAAGCAAACCAAACTAACGTATTTTTGGTATTACACTCTGTGCAGTGTGATGCGAGATATATTTTATGTGAGAAATAGACAAGTCACAGCTATAAGAGAATAGTTATTTTGGTAGTTGGGTTGCTGTCTCATTGACATTATCATCTTTTCAATTCAGACATAATACATTTAATTTCAATAAGGTAGAGTACCTCCATAAACTATTCTAAGACTATTTGCTACAGGTTCAGAGACTTTCTTTGCTACCCATGCCCGGAGTTTCTGGTGGACTTCTTGGGCCTGTGCTGGTGTGGCTGTTTTTCCTGTACCGATGGCCCACACTGGTTCATAGGCTACCACTACATTGGCCCACTGGTCTGGTGCTACATTGTCTGAAAAATGGTAAAAATATAGATAGTTTTCATTATGATGTAATTTGAGATGGAGTTATTTCCCTTGGCCACCATGTTGGAGGTGAAGCTGGTTGATTTTATAGTTTTCAATAGAACATAATTTAAATTATTTTCCTTGTCTGCCAGCAATGTTTGAGGTGAACTGGTAGATTTTCTTATTAGACTTTTATCATGATTATATAAACCAAATAAAAATATAATCAAATATAGACCAATTTTAAAATGACGTAATTTGAGTTATTAGCTTTCGCCATGCATGTTGATCCATTTCAAACTGGTTGGTTTTCTTATTTGACTTTTATATAAACCAAATAAAAAATTTCAAATATAGATACTTTTCAAAATGATTTAATTTGAGGAATATAATTGTCCTTGGTCGCCATGTTGGAATGAAACTAGTTGATTTTCTAATTCAACTTTTATATACAAAACAAATAAAAAATTTCAAATAAAGATAGTTTTCAAAATGATTTAACTTAAGCTATTGTCCTTGACCACCATGTAGGAGATGAAACTGGTTGACATTCTCATTAGACTATAATATAACCCAAATAAAAACATCTGGTACAAGCAAGTTTGACAACAAAATCCTCATTAAGTTATAGCAATAAATTATCAAAGGCTTTAACAAGATAAGATTGTTCATAAAACAATTTTGTTCAAAGTCTAGCAGACTGTATAACAAGTTAAATTTGGTTGATTTACGAAGGATTTTGTACACCTTGACCTCAAGTAAGGTCATTGGTGGCAAAGGGATATTATACAATATAAAACTATGTATACACATTTGAACTGTCAGTTACAGTATTATTACAGTTCAGGAGGAATTTGTCATTTCACCTTGCACAGTTTTGCCTAATAAAATGTAACCTCAAAGGAGAAGGTCTGGTAACGGCTAATTTCGGCCTAAAATTCAACGTACATCTGATGAAAGATTTTTGACATTTTTTAAACAATTAATTGTCTACTTCAGTCGATTCAATTAGTTTATGTTAAAGATTTGAACTAATTTTGTCATTAAAGACGCTCAAATTGAAGTTTAAATATGAATAAAATGCTCCGCAGGGCGCAGCTTGATACGACCGCAGAGGTCGAACCCTGAACAGTTGGGGCAAGTATGGACACAACATTCAAGCTTGATACAGCTTTGCATTTGGATTGTGATTAAATATTTGACACAGCATAAATTTCTGACACAGAATGAATGTGGTCTAAGAACTTAAAAATTTTAAATTGGACATTCACCTATTATGGTCCAATATCCAAAATCTAAATACATGGTTAGATTCAGCATATCAAAGAACCCCAAAAATTCAATTTTTGATGAAATCAAACAAAGTTTAATTTTGGACCCTTTTGACCTCAATGTGGACAAAGTTGATAACGGGGCCCAAAAATCAAAAATCTAAATACATGGTTAGATTCAGCATATCAAAGAACCCCATATATTTAATTTTTGTTGAAATCAAACAAAGTTTAATTTTGGACCCAGATTTGGACCAACTTGAAAACTGGGCCCATAATCAAAAATCTAAATACATGTTTAGATTCAGCATAACAAAGAACCCTAAGAATTCAATTTTTGTTAAAATCAAACTAAGTTTAATTTTGGACCCTTTGGACCTTAATGTAGACCAATTTGAAAACGGAACCAAAAATTAAGAATCTAAATACACGGTTAGATTCGGCATATCAAAGAACCCCAATAATTCAATTTTTGATGAAATCAAACAAAGTTTAATTTTGGACCCTTTGGACCTCAATGTGGACCAATTTAAAAACGGGGCCCAAAATCCAAAAACTAAATACACGGTTAGATTCAGCATATTAAAGAACCCAAAGAATTCAAGAATAAAACCCCATTGAAATTGGTCAAGAAATAAGCAATTTATACTAAGTATCTTCTTTTGCACAATACTGTGCAATTAAATATTTCTTGCTATTGCGCAATACTGTACAATTGACAATTTCTTGCGATTGCGCAATATTGTGCTATTGGATATTTCTTGCTATTGCGCAATACTGTGCAATTGAAGATTTCTTGCTATTGCGCAATACTGTGCAATTGAAGATTTCTTGCTATTGTGCAATACTGTGCAATTGAAAATTTCTTGCTTTTGCACAATACTTTTTATATAATAATTTACACATCCTGTTTGGTGTGTATCTCCTACCATATCATTATTATTTGCTTTTAAATATAAATCAGAAATAACCAACTTACATGGAAAATTTTAAAAGAAAAAAAAAGGAAAAAAAGAAAAAAAAAGGAAAAAAAAAAAAATCCCCCCCCCCAACTTTTTTGAACCCCCTTATGATTCATCACCTCCAAACTCAATCCCAGCCTTCCCTTTGTGGTATGGTACCTTGCAGTACAATTTCAGAGAGATCCATACACTTGAACACAAGTTATTGTCCTGAAACTAGAAAAATGCTTGTTTTTTGGCCCCTTTTTGGCCCCAAATTCCTAAAATATTGAGGCAATTACCCCCATCATCAATCCCAGCCTTCCCTTTGTGGTATGGTACCTTGCAGTACAATTTCAGAGAGATCCATACACTTACACACAAGTTATTGTCCTGAAACTAGAAAAATGCTTGTTTTTTGCCCCTTTTTGGCCCCTAATTCCTAAAATTTTGGCAATTACCCCCATCATCAATTCCAGCTTTCCCTTTGTGGTATGGTACCTTGCAGTACAATTTCAGAGAGATCCATACACTTGAACACAAGTTATTGTCTGGAAACTAGAAAAATGCTTATTTTTGGCCCCTTTTTGGCCCCCAATTCCTTAACGTTTCGGCAATTACCCCCAAACTCAATTCCAGCTTTCCCTTTGTGATATGGAACATTGTAGTACAATTTCAGAAAGATCCATACACTTACACACAAGTTATTGTCATGAAACTAGAAAAATGCTTGTTTTTTGCCCCTTTTTTGGCCCCTAATTCCTAAAATTTTCAGGCAATTACCCCCAAAATCAATCCCAGCATTCCTTTTGTGATATGGAACCTTGTGGTACAATGTCAGAGAGATCCATACACTAACACACAAGTTATGTCTGGAAGTTACAAAAATGCTTATTATTGGCCCCTTTTCGGCCCCCAATTCCTTTACTGTTGGTACCATAACCCCCAAAATCAATCCAAACCTTCCTTTTGTGGTATTGAACCTTGTGGTAAAATTTCATAGAGATCCATGCACTTAAACTAAAGTTAGAGTGCGAAAACCAATGTGTCTTCGGACAACGCCGACGACGACGCCAACGTCATACCAATATACGACCACAAAAATTTTTTTGCGGTAGTATAAAAATATATCAAATATGACATAAAACATTTGTAAAACGTCACTTTTCAGATGGTTTTTGTCTAAAATGGAAGTGGCCGCATTCGTGTTCAGTCTCAACATTTATATATGTTATGTATTATCATTAAATCCAACATATATTTAAATATTAAGACTGAACACAAGTGCGGCCGTATTTTTGCATGACTTAATGATACTAGTCAGTGCTCCAGCTAGAAATCAAAAGGGGCAGGGTGCAAGTGGAGGGCAGGGCACTTTTTTATGAAAGGAAAAGGCACTGCTCATTTCTTTTGTCTACATTTCTGTGTGTATCACGGGTTCACATTCTTTTTTTTTACTGTATATGTTGTTAATAAAGATGCATAAGTTGTTGTTTGGATTATTTATTCTATAAAATTTGCATTAGAAAATGTAATTCATACGACATGTTCATAAAACATGTCAATACACATTCATACATCACATCACTATAAACCAATAGAGGCAAATCAACTTACTATTCTCCCCCCCCCCCCCCCCCCCCTTTTCCAAAAAAAAAAAACAACATAAACTAAACATCTCATAGTTTAGCATACATGTGACAGAGTTGTCTTATTTCAAAATTTTCAGCTAGAGTTTTGCCCTCAAAACTTTTTTTTATTGTTTGTGTTAAGGAATTATTAAGTAAAGCTTCATGAAGATGATGTCATGATAATTTAACTTCACACTACCCATTTATGTAGGATTGCAGCTTAACATCATCAAAATAATTTAACTTATACATTTCTTAATTGAAAATGTATAGAACATGGATTGCTAAAAGTATGATTATCAAAAATAAATTGCAATATATTTTTTTTGGTATGTTCAAAGACAGTTAATATCCTTACGGTAACATTCTTATATATTGTATTCAATTGGTAATTTATTCCTAATTTTAATACTAAGGATAATATTTTAGGAGCACAAATTTGTAATAAGCTAAAACAGGGGAAGTAACTCCAAAATTAATTTCTAACACGTTTACTGTTTGCTTGTCGCTCACAAGTTGAGATGGACGGCGTTTCTGTGAAGGCATAGTTGTATTTTGATGACTTAAATTCTATTCTAAAGTCATGAATTCAGAAAGTCTTCATTTATACACTCTTCTAGGAGATCGAAAATGCGAAAATGCCGACCCAAGCTAAAAACTCTCGCTGACACATTCATCAAATTTATGACAAAAAGGTACATTGTCTTAATTAAATTACCTAGTTATTAACACCTTTGAAGTCTTGTCCACTGTAATTGATTGTAATGACATGATTAACCTGGGGGCAATCACCTGGTTTCATATATGTAATTTAACTTTGTGATAAGAAATAGATGAAAAAAAAAGGCAATTTTACCAAAACGGCACATGGTTTTGGGGAAAAAGGCGTCAGGGCAGAAGGGCGCAGGTGAAGGCACCCAGGGCGCGGCGCCCTTCTATTTTGGGCTAAAGAGACCACTGCTAGTACCTAATGCATGTCCATTGTATTGTCAAAAACAGCCCATATTTATGTAACAATAGTATTCTACTTTCCAATAAATAGCTAAAAGTTTATATTTTAACAACTTTGTAAAAACGCAATATTTTGGGGCCAAAAAGGGGTCTTACTGGGCCTACTCCTTTGTTTAAATATTGATTGTTGGTGTTTAACGCCGCTCTTGATGGAGGAAACCAGAATGCCCAAGGAGAAACAATGACCTTCAGCAAGAAAACCAGCAATCGTAAGTCAATTAAGATTGAGTTATATGCACCTGCCATTTGTTGGTTTCAAACTCAAAACTTAAAAAGGACTGGCTAGTGATAATGAGGATTAGCTACACAGACTACATGGTAGGCACTGAGGCCCTTTAAAATATTGGGGAAAAAAAGCTAATTTAATTTTTCAATGGTACTCTATGTATAATTTTAAAGATGTTCAATGAGAATGGCATTTGAACTCAATATGGTTGGCTAAGTGTACAATCTAGATGTTTGCAAGCATGCATGGTTTGTTTCTGTTAATTGTCATCAGAATTGGTCACCATTGAGGACTTGAGAACAAGAGAACCACAGGTTAATCATTAAAAATAATTTACTCATTAGGAAAAGTATCAATGGACTAAGAATTAGAGAACGTACATGTATATTGCTAGATATACATACCAACTATTGCCTGCATTTGCCTATACACCACCTCTTCTGTTTTGCCTGCCTCTCTTTCCTCTATTTTTTCACCAATACAAGCTATAACTTTTACACCTTGGCTTAAAGCATATTTTACTTTTTCTCCAATCAGCTGAAATCATAAATCAGTCATATATATGTAAAATAAAAGAAGAATGGGTCTGAGGACACAAATCCTCCCACTCAAACTTTTTAATAATATATATGTGAGAATACTTTTTGAGAGCATATGATGTCCATGCTTGACTCTTATAAAACCTCTTTCATATATATTTCCATTGTCAAGCAGACCCCCCCCCCCCCCTAAAAAAAAAAAAAAAAGAAAAGATGACTGAAGACCACCCACTCACCTGATCACTTTCTCCAAAAACATTTCTCCTTTCTGAATGACCTAATATAACCCATTCACATCCAATGTCTTTAATCATGTTTGCACTGAAATAAACGGATATATGATAATAACCTTTATTGTACATGTCATACATTTGTCATATAAATAAATTAGAAATGTTTGTGAGAAAAACATATATATCAATGGAATATAAATTGAACATGAATCATTAATGCAAACAAGAAATATATATATAAAAAACGTGAAAATAAAGCTATTTTGTCCTAAGTTAAAAAAAATCGCTGATTAGTTTCATATGCTCTATTGATACGGGTTTCAATAATTTAATAATTTTTTGGTCTTTTGGAAGTGACATAAAGTCGTCTTCCCATTTAACTTTTTCAAATAGATCCAATCTTAATTGTAAATAATAGTTATAACTGAATATATTAGAAATGTACATCTGCAATCCATTGTTATTGTTTGTTGCTGTCTGCCAAATACTGTAAATTCAGAGACATATGGCAAAATCAAAGGTACTTTATTTAAATCATTTGCACCACGTGACTTTGTCCCTTTTGATCAAATTACTTCCCTTAGCTTAAGATTGAAAATATAATTTATTATAGATTTGCGGATAATCCAGTCCTTTTCCGTCATGTATCTAAAACTAATGTATCTTTAAAAACTTCCTTTGGCGGATATTTACAAAAATGCTGTGTAATTCTAAGGGGAAATGCTTAAAATTTGACTTTTTACGAAATGGGAAGGTTGAAATCATCATGTTTTTAAAAGAATTTGGCCGAAAACTTAAGAAAGCAGGTAAGTTAAAAGTTATTTAACTTTAAAATTCAACCTACAAGGTGTTTCCCTATATGCGAACAAATCATGAACAATATCTTCTTGCATGTGTATTTCTGTTTTGAATCTTGCTATTTTACGATTTTACGTCATTTTATTTGATCTTATATAGCAATTACACAATGGTTACGCTTCCGATTTTTAAACTAAAAAGGCCGAAAGATTTCATAGTAGACAATGTCCATTTGTACACGGACAGAAGCCTAAAAACATGTACAATTCACCTATATGCGAACAAATACACCTTATCGCTAATCCCGCTTGACCCGAGAATCTGTCCTGCTCGAACTTTTGACGTCATACAACAATCACTTTTCCATTGTGGCGTCAGACATTTGGTATTATGACGTCAAAATTTTACAGGAACCTGTGTGATGTCCAGTAATGGCGGACAAATAGCGATAAGGTGTATTGTTCATTCGACATAGGTATTTGCATATTGGCATTTTTATTAAAAGGGCTTATATAATCCTATTGTAATGGCTGCCGTCATGATAAGGCAAAATGGCCGCTATGCAAATTAGCAAATTACCCCAAATTTTGCCATATGATGTTTGCGTACTATGCTTAACGATTGTTGAACAATAAACAAAATTGTAAAATAAATCATTGCCATTTCGGGAAATGCTGCATCATGCATACAAATCAAATTAACAATTAAATACGATTAAAGCATTAATTGTCAAATAAAAAAAAAAAAAATGGTGAATTTTGTCAGTAAGTACCGGTACAACTTTTATATAGAAGTAAACTTACATTCTTGAAGACTGAATTGCAAGTAAATTACTTATATAAATAAATTTCTCAGATTTAAATTTCTTTTTAACGTCTAAATAATATAATCTGCCTCTACACTTCTAAAAAATTTGCTTATAAGTACATTTATTCATTTCTTAATTTTTTGCTGAAATTCTAAAGTTTTGGAAGGCCAAAGTATGCCTGAATTATAATTTCCTGGCCCATGGACCCTCAAAATCCTAGCTTAAACACTGTTGTTTTATGTAATAATCTTTAAATTAAGAGCTCAAACTTTAATCTAAAAACTTTGCAAATACAGCTACTATGTGCAGATGTTTTTTAAAGTAATTGTTCAAGGCCTAACCTTTCAAAATTGTGTCCTGGAGGCTTGCCGTGAAGAAATATTTTGGAAGTACTAACATGACCATGATGGCTTAACACTATGTAAGTCATGTAAGCAACAGACCAATTAGATTTTCCTTCTCAATGAAGTTATAGAGACAGGCAATTTAATGTCCATGAGAGCAATGATAAGAGAAATTCAACAGTTCAAGAAGATTAGAAAACATGACTTTCTGTTTCAATCTTTTAAAAGAGGGGAAAATTGCATGAATAAGGGAGATAAAAATCTTTCCTCACAAATAACCCACTGTTACCAAAGAACAGAGGAGCACAGAAATGACAGAGGGGATCTGTGACCATCTATCTTCGACTATCTAGGGCATTGCTTTAACTTATTGAGCAATATATATCAATACCTAATGTCCCCAGTAAAGGCCCCTTTTTCTACTTTGTAACAGTTCTGTCCAGCAACTCCAATCTTTTGGTCAAGTTTTCCTCGTACATATTCCATGTAAATGGCTGGAGGGGAAACTACTACTTCTGAAAAATAAATTAAAATAGAAAATATTGTGAAAGAAAAGATACATGTACATCATGTACATGTATATCATGTATATATACATGGAGGGTGTACAAATGTATCACTGAAAGAAATGTATGCGAGAAAAATATCTTGTCACATGGTCTGTTGGTACATGAAGTGTTCTTGTTTCCAAGAATATTGTGTTTATCCTTGCATGGTCAAATCAAAATTTTGAAAATTGGATTAAAATAATTTTCTGTTTTTCCTCTTACATGTACAAGCATATATATGGTAAAACAACTGGTCAGCTCAAATTCAGAATAATGTTTTGCGGTTAGGGTGACATGTCCAAGCTACTACATTGTAAAAAACATAATCGACAATCAAGCTCAGTGTGTCCCTCAAAAACCAAGGTTCTCACTAAGGATTTTTGAAGGTGAGTCAAGGGAATCATCTTTTTTCCCATGGCAAATCGAACAGTTAGCAAGGTCAGAAGAAATTTTATCACAATATAATTATATTGCTTTAAAGTCTCCATTACAAAAAAGATCAAGGAAATTACATCATGTACATCAAATTTAAATTATTTACAAACTTTTGATAAAAAATGATGATATAATATTATATGCTTAGTTGATACAATATTAATATTTTAATCTTTACATGTATGCATCTTTTGGACTCACCAGGTTTGAAAATGAGGATCAGGAGTCCAAACATATTTTCAAGCGTCCAGGACTCGCCTTAGTGCATGCAGTGAGAACCATGACCTTTATTAAACATCTTGTACATGTACTAATAACAAATGACATATTTCTAGGAAGTGAATTATTTTCGAAATATTACAATAAATTCTTTATATGTATACATCATGTACATGTTCGATATGAGCCAAGGCTCTGTGTTGAAGGTAGTACTTTGACCTATAATGAATGTTGTTTTTTTCACAATGTGACCTGGATGAAGAGTTGTCTCATTGGCTCTCATACCACATCTTCTTATTTCTATATACAAAATCAAAATATAAGACTATAATGAGATAACAGATATTATTTTTAATTGTATCCTAATTGTACGTACAAAAAACCATGTACATGTATATAATCATACTGGCAATTGACCTAATGACAAACAGAAGAGAATCCTAGACAATTAGCTGACATTCAGCATGTTTGAGCATCATTGTTTGTTTCTGACAGTTAACACAGGAGAAAATAGGAGTCATTGTATATGTATGTTATTTGGAATCTTCACACTGATTCATATTTTATGTCAAGCACAAAATTTATGTTAATGATTGAAACAAAACCTGAGAACCTGGGGAGTTGTAGAAAAACATGCATGTACAAATGTACAACAGGATAGCAAATAGTCGCTGGAGCAATTTAGTCATTGTTAGTTTGAATTTAAAGGATATCTTTATTTTTTCACCTTGTCACCTCTGAAAAGCATGACAGGTTCACTACGAAAATCAGTAGCCCGAACATCTGGGCAATAGGAGGACAGCCGTTAATGTCAGTCCCTGACCACCCCACATCCCCCAAAATATGCATCTGCATCTGTAATGACATATACGTTAAAATTCAGTGCTCCAGCTAGAAATTAAAAGGGGTAGGGTGCCAGTGGAGGGCAGGGCACTTTTTTATGAAAGGAAAAGGCACTGCTCATTTCTTTTGTCTATGTTTCTGTGTGTATCACGAGTTCACATTCTTTTTTTTACTGTATATGTTGTTAATAAAGATGCATAAGTTGTTGTTTTGATTATTTATTCTATAAAATTTGCATTAGAAAATGTAATTCATACGACATGTTCATAAAACATGTCAATACACATTCATACATCACATCACTATAAACCAATAGAGGCAAATTAACTTACTATACCCCCTCCTCCCCTTTTCCAAAAAAAAACAACATAAACTAAACATCTCATAGTTTAGCTTACATGTGACAGATTTGTCTTGTATCAAAATTTTCAGCTAGAGTTTGGCCCTCAAAACTTTTTTTCATTGTTTTAAGGAATTATTTAGTAAGCTTCATCAAGTTAATGTCATGGTAGTTTAACTTCACACTACCCATTTTTGTAGGATTGCACCTTAACATCATCATATCAATTGAACTTATAAATTTCTTATTTGACAATGTATAGAACATGGATTGCTAAAAGTATGATTATCAAAAATAAATTGTAATATATTTTTTTTGGTATGTTCAAAGACAGTTAATATCCTTAAGGTAACATTCTTATATAATTTTGTATTCAATTGGTAAGTTATTCCTATTTTTAATACTAGATAATATTTTAGGAGCACAAATTTGTAATAAGCTAAAACAGGGGAAGTAACTCCAAAATTAATTTCTAACACGTTTAATGTTTGCTTGTCGCTCACAAGTTGAGATGGACGGCATTTCTGTGAAGGCATAGTTGTATTTTGATGACTTAAATTCTATTCTAATGTCATGAAAGACTTCATTTATACACTCTTCTTGGAGATCGAAAATGCCGACCCAAGCTAAAAACACTCCTCCTGACAAATTCATCAAATTTATGACAAAAAGGTACATTGTCTTAATTAAATTACCTAGTTATTAACACCTTTGAAGTCTTATCCACTGTAATTGATTGTAATGACATGATTAACCTGGGGGCAATCACCTGGTGTTTATATATGTAATTTAACTTTGTGATAAGAAATCGATGAAACAAAAAGCAATTTTACCAAAACGGCACAAGGGTTTTTGGGGAAAAGGCGTCAGGGCAGAAGGGCGTGGATGAAGGCACCTTCTATTTTGGGCTAACGAGACCACTGACATTTATCTGATCAAGGACAATAATTAATTCTAAATGTCGGAGTAATAGACCTTATCGCTATTGGGGATCTGCTACCCTTGACCTCAAAACCTGCTACACTTGAACTGTTGACGTCGTACAACAATCACTTTTTCTTTGTGGCGTCAAGAGATTTGCTACTAGGACGACCCAATTTTATGGGAAACTTTGTGATGTTCGGTAATGGCAGAAAAATAGTGATAAGGTGTATGGGTTGTGGGATTATTTGGCAGTCAGTCTATTGAGCTGTCCCAGTGTTAAAATAATGTTGTGATCACCTGTCACGGTTTTCAGTAATGCCAGTGATCCTTTTGTACTAAATTTTATACTGAATAAATTAGGTCAATCAGTTTGAAATTTAAGTTGAATGATAATGTCTTCATCGATAATATGCATTATTGTGTACTTCGAACTTAAACAACCATTCCATCATCATCAGCATCACCCCCTTTTTGTTAAATTGTGGAAATTTGTAACCTGTATTTGGATCTAATGGTCCTGCGTTTAGAAACTGAATTATTCCATCAATGCTGGCTTTATTGCCATTCATTTTCCAATTTCCTCCAACAAAAAACTTCCTCTGAGATGCCATGCTTTATGAAAAGTAAGAACGTATGACTGTTAGAACGACCGGCCTTGGACAATACGACCTTGAAGGAAGTGAACAGGACGATCTTCTGTGCGCTTTGTTTAAGGAAGAAAAATGCTAGAACTTCAAACATTTTTGAATTCTATCCCATCATGCAATTTCCCGCGAAATTTATATAACCTGGCATGTTTACAATATAATGTTTTGGTAAAGGAATCTAACTGGGAAGAATTCTGTATTGTAAATCTTCGTTAGGTAGGTTACACGGAATCAGAAAATATTCTTTTTATCTAAATTTTCAGTTTTAGAATTGCAGAATTCAAAAGAAATGTTAAAAATGATAAAAAGGTGTCTCAGTCATTGCCAAATTTTATTGTCAAATCATATCTCCTTATATATCTGTATAATTGATAATATATCTTTATAATTGATAGTAAATCACTTTTTGGCTGATATTTAAAAAAATAAGGCATTTAGAGAAAAATCGGCTGTGTGCAGCCTGATCATTGTCTGTCTCCTTTCAGATTTCCTGTGGGGCGAACAGGTACTACTACTAGAGCGAACGGACCCGGATTCGAAATTGAACAACCTATTTTAGTAATCCCTGTTGGTATTCAGTTTCCAGAGCAATTTTCTGATCTGGTTGCCCTCAGAATCCCTTGTCAAGCGATAGTAAATCCTTTTTTTAGGGAAAAAATTTGGAACTACCTAACCCCATAGTTGCCAACTGACATGATATTCGCGTGTAATACACGCTTTTTCAACGGTTTACACGCGAGGATTTTATCACATGGCGTGTACACGCTTTTCACCACTTTACACGCAATTACACGCTTTTTCGTTGTTTTGATTTTTTGGTTGTTAGTGATATCGCGATTCTCGGGTTTTTTCATTATAACACGATAAATACCGAAATTTCGAAGTAATTGTTTGGTGGCCATATTGTTTATTTTTCTATATGGACGAACAGCAAAAGCTCTTAAGGTAAGTAGTTTGTGATTAGTATTTACGATTTTGGGACTTTCTTTCTTTCAAATTCACTTAGGGGAAATGTCCTCAGAAAGAGGTCGCTTTCAGGACCTGTACCGTCGTCTAAAGAGCCGATTTCTAAGCGAAAACGATGTGTACGAACCAAGATAATTTCAAGATTTATAAATTATATTTGGGAGTTCGAGTTTATATCATCGAGGGATAAGTAACGCATTGTGCACTCTATGTTGCAATCATAACAATACATATGAGAGGAGAACTAAAATACATAGCTATTTGATTAAGCATTTAACAATTATAAAATATTTTTCTTTTTCAGTTTCAAATGTAGCCAACAGATTTCCACAGGCCATAGGGGATGGAAATATCACGGAACTGTTGGATCAGTTCTCATAGTATTAGCTGTCTTCTGATGAACTACCCAGTTTTGACCAGGCAATAGCAACATATATTGTATAGTTTGTTGGGAGCAATGGTAGAGATCATAGATGACATTTTAGATGGCAAAAAAACATTATGACACTCAATTTTAGTTCAGCCAAATATCAATTCTGACTGTGAGAGATCATTTTTCAATTATAAAGAAATTTACACTGAATTCTGATCAGAACTCGACAATGATATATTGTGTGCCTTTTTATCAAGTAAATGTATCCAAACCAGCAGGTGTTTAGACTATGTGCCTAGTGGTGTTGCTTTAAAAGCAGCAAAACAGACCACTGTTGAAAACAATAAAAGTTTACAGTTGAATATTGTTTTTTATATTAACAAATTTGCATATAATGTGAAATTATGAACATTGTTCATATTAAAAAGTCCGCATCTACGTCACGCGTTTTCACACGCTTTTTGACATGTCATGTCATGTCATGACATGATTTCTCATTGTCAGAGGTTGGCAAGTATGCCTAACCCATTGTTACCTAGATTACATTTACCTATGACTTTTACAATGACAGTACCTTGGTACATCTGAAACAGGTGAGACGGGATTGATTCCCTTAATACCGTAACACTTAGTAGATACTTGAGCAACCGTAAGCGGTTGAGCTAGTGAACATGGTGAAGTACTTCTTTAGTTCAATAATTGTAATTGTTATGAATTTAGGACCAAAATAACGGTGTTACGATTAACAGTCTATGTTCATTAGCTGTCCAGAACAGTTCTCAGTATATGATTCATTTTCGTCATTGTGACACATAATATTTGGTTAGAATGGTGTAACATAAACTGCTTGATTGGTTGGACTGCTATCATGGTTATTATCCATTGGGTTTCTCAGGACTTCACCCTAAGGGTGACTGGGGAGTAGAAATATGGTCACCACTGTTCCTCCGACCGGCAGTAAAACAATCACCAAAGTGAGGCGTCCGTTCGGCTGTTCTGGATGTATCAGGCCAAAATTAAAATTGAGTTTGTTTCCCCTTACCCGACCGACCCTCCAAAAATCCGCCGACTGAAATAATTTTTTTCGAAAATCACGTTGTTGTTTTTTTTTTTTTTTTTCGTTTCGCTCAAAAGTTCGTTTTTTTAATTTCGTTTCCTTGAATGGTCCGTATTTTCAACATTCCGCGAAATCATTGTCGCCCGTGTGTTTGCAGCAAAGGGTAAACAACGTATGCAAGGATACTGAAATTGGAATGGAATAATGTTTTAAATAAATGCATCCGAGCAATCTTAACTACTCTTCCTTTCTAGCTACGCCTCCAATAAGAAAATGCGTAGCGAGAATGGCCGAGTAGTTACGATTGCGCATCCGAGCTCACCCTTGAGCTTAAATGTTAGGCCTGGTGTTTCTGCCGTGTTTGTGGTAAATCCCTGAGTTCGCCTTTATCAGTGGTTGACTCAATAAGTTGTATATTGGCGTGCTATTTATGCTATTTTGTTTCATTTCGTATGTGATATTGGACCATACACTAGTTGTCTTTGGATAAAATAGTAGTTGATTTTTTTCGAGCTCAGTATCATATTGTGTTGTGAAAAGTCGAGATGACTATACCAGCTTATGCTTTGATTAAAGTTCTTATGTCTTTTATAAGCTATAATGGGCTGATGATTAAATATGGTCACACATTCAGGGTTTTGTGAAATAAGATGCCAGTGTTTCATTATTATATTTTTAGTTTCTGTATAGATGGGTTGAATTTTGTTAACATTACTAGCGGTTGCTCCCATTTCGCAGGTCGATGTGTTAGCAAGTTTTCCCTTTCTGTATTTTGTGTTTGATAAAAAAAATCGTTGATTTCAGATATTTGATATCCTCGTTTGAGCTTCTTACTGTTTTTTAAGATCAGTTTTGCTGCTTGTGTTTCTGAGATACCTCAATACTTCACCCTTGATAAATCCTTTCAATGAAAACACTTTTTGGGTGTGAGCAGTGTCTGTGCAGATATTGATATGTTTCAGTTGGTTTGATATTGGTTTTAATGTCTTGTATCATACTATGCCTTCGTTAAAGAATCTTTCTCCTTTGTATAATTATATTGCCCCCAAGGGTGACTGGGGAATAGAAGTATGGTCACCATTGGTCTTCCTCCGACCGGCAGTAAAACCCGTGCTAAAGTGGGGCGTCCGTTTGGCTGTGCGGGATGTACAAATTTGCAGCCACGTCCGGTCAGAATGGGGATGTTAAATCCGATGCCTCGTGTAAAGAGAGTGCCACGCTCTTTGCACGTTAAGAACCCTTGCAACAACTCTTTGAGGGGTCCGTAGGTGACCTGTTGCAAGGCTAGATTTCTGTCCCTATCCAATATACCCTCATTTCCCGTGGCAGTCTAAATTTCTCCGACCTTAACCCCTTAATCTATTACAGAACCTACCTATTGTAGTTATTGTGAACTTGTTCTCGTCCTGAATATGCATGAAATATTTGCCACTGGATGTTAAGCAACCAACAATCAATCAATTGTATAATTATGACAGTGTCTAAGAATATTGTTTCATTACAGGAAAATTCGTAGGTGAACTTCAACTATCATTATCATTTTGTTTCTCTATGTTGAAAGCGTTGTAAAATGTGTTCAAGAATTAACAAACATTGTAAGGTCTGCTAACTCAGCGAATACTGATCCGCACATAGACACGCCCAAGGTTTCATGGTAAAGTTTATTGTTAAAAATAAATTCATAGTTTTCTAGAATAAGCCTTAATAGGCGTAGTCATACTCGCTTGGATCACGGTTTGTGGCTTCTAGTATTTCCTTAAATGGAAAACAAGTGTACATATTTTTTGCATCGAATGTTACTAGGTAACAGTCTCGTCGGGGTTTTATATTTTCAATTGAATTAATAAAACTATAAGAAAAATATAGAACCGTGTCTCAATTTATATGTGGTCTACTCTAAGTCACAAAGACATTGATATTTACCAACATTTTCTAGTCTGAAATTGTAAGGTGTTCTAGTCATGCATATAACGTTATACAGTATGTTGTTTTAGTATCAATAAAGTTCAATTTGTTAATTTTATGTGTTTTCCTGTGTGTTAGATATATTTCAGGGATTTTCTCTAAAAAAAAAAAAAAAAGCCTACCTACCTACCCACTTCCAAAATGGTGGGTAGGGTAAGGGGAAACAAAGATATTTTTAATTGCGGCCTCAAGTATGCAGCCACGTCCAGTCAGAATGAGGAAATTAAATTCAATGCCTTGTGTAGAGAGAGTTTGCACGTTAAGAACCCTTGCAACAACTCTTTGAGGGGTACGTAGGTGGCCTGTTGCAAGGCTAAATTTCTGTCCCTATCCAATATACCCATGATACTCTCATTTTACCATGGTAGTCCAAACTTTCCCTGACCTTCATCCCGGACGGCCTATATTGTAAGACCTACCTATTGAATTTATTGTCAACATGTTCTCGTCCTTAGCATATATGAAATATTTGCCACTGGACGATAAGCAACCAACAATCAATCGGGACTAACAGTATAAATTGATCTTTCTATTTCATGTTCAATTCTGAATAATTAATGAACGAAACAAGTCTTTGTTTTCAATTTTACAACAGTCAGGGGACTTATTTAAGTAGCAAATTCGAAGTTTTGTCACAAATTGTGATTTTGTAGTTTTACCAAAATTTTAAACACATAGGTTTAGATAATATCTTTTCATTAGTAAAAATTGAAAAAAAAGAACTTTTTGCTTCTTTTAAGCAGCAAGGTTTATGCCTTTGATGCAATCATTTAGCTGCAAATTCTATTTTAGTTGAAAAAATGCTATAAAAATGGCTTTACGTAATGAACTGATACTTTCTTAACAGATTTTTCCTGGC